CACGCTCCCGCGTTCCTAAACAGACAAGTGTGGCAATGCACATTTCCATGTTCTAGTCACAGGCTCACCCGATCTTGCTCATCCTATCGTTGGAGAGAGCTTGGGGGTCGCATAGTAATGGTCATTAGTCTACTTTCCCTTCTTTTTCATCTCTTCGTATTTCCCTCCTTCTTTCCTGCCGTGTTCATTCTCTGTACTGACGTTGCTCATCTTCTTTTCTACGGAGTTCTCCCTCTCTCGCGGACCCTCCTCCACAACGTGGCTATCCCTTCACATGCTCCACGACCTACACCATCGTCCTTGGAACGCGGGGTGATCATTAATAGTATAGTAGTTCGACCATCATTTAGATGAATCTGCCCGGTATAGTGGTTCAGATTCATCTGAGAGGAGATATTGTCAGGAATATGAGTGGGGGCCATAGACAGATTATGAACTCAAATCCCAAGAACACGTAGTAACCCAGATAGTCGTGTACTAGGCAAATAACTTAATTACTCCAAGGTTCCATCTAAATACAAGCGTTGCAGTGAACTCGCGGGCCACTGTCCAAACCTTTGGACCATATTTACGCAGTATTCAATGTCGCTTCTTCCTCCTGACATGTACATGGGCATAGTAATGGCCGGGTAAATAATATTTAAGAAGGTATAATAATAATAATAATAATAATAATAATAATAATAATTTAAAATCACAATAATAACAAAAGTAATTTTAATCATAATAAAAAATAATGATGATAATAATAATAATAATAATAATAATAATAATAATAATTTAAAATCACAATAATAACAAAAGTAATTTTAATCATAATAAAAAATAATGATGATAATAATAATAATAATAATAATAATAATAATAATAATAATAATAATAATAATAATAGTAATAACGATAATGCCAGTCAATCAATGATAGTGGTAATAAAAGAAAGAATAAATTTCAATAATACAAAATGCAAGGGAAATGCGTAACAACGAACTTCAGAAATCAAACAGCATCATACACATATGACCAGATATTCGTGACCTCGAACCAACAGCAGAATTGAATCACGAGATTCACCAAGTAAGAAATCGCCAAGAGCTCGTAGTTGACAATGCTGAGATATTCCCACCTTTATCGACGAAGAACTTAGAGTCGGTATTCTATCCGGCGGTCATTGCCCAGACTACATGTCTTAGATCCTATCTAACCTATATTTCGCAACCGAAAGATGACATCAACAACAATCCCGAAGTACGTGTCTGTGGCGACCAATGCCGCACGCTTCCTGCACCAGGTATTGTCTCGTGCCACACTCACAACCTCGTTCCCAACTCATAGATGCCACTAGCACACGCGCGGAGTTCTCTTTTCACCCACCCACACACACACTTTATCGATAGGATGAGCAAAAATGGAATGAATCTTCCGCTGAAATATGAAAATATACACTGTTATTTTTTTATTTGCTCGTTTTATCGATCCAAGGAGCGCGCCTTTTCTCTTCTTCTCATACACACACAAACACACACACACACACACACACACACACACACACACACACACATACACACACACATACATACACACATACATACACACACATTCCATCGATAGGATGAGCAAAAACTGGAATGAATCTTCCGTTGAAACGCGAAAATATACACCCCCACTTTTCGGTTCGCTCACGCCATCGATCTAAGTACCGTGCGGCGATGCACGGGTTGGAGACTTTGCTATCTCATACACACACACACACACATACGCACTCCCTCACACAAACACACTCACACACTCACACACACACACTCATATAGTAGTAGTGATTACCTCTACGTCGTAGCGGAAATCAGATCGAGCTTGCCCACTCTTTCGATGGAAGTTGCGCAAAGCCAGCCGCGGCTTCGGCGACTTACCCGGCCAGGTACATCGAGACGATTGGAGTATCCTTTCTCTATTCCATCTCTCTTATTCTCTCTCCTTCTCACACACTGACACACTCGAACACACAAACACATACACACACACACACTCAACAAGTTCATACATGCGCATAAGTAAGTGAGGCGATGCATATCGCCCCATTTTTAGTGATAGATTCCTTCGATTTCGTTCTTCCTGTCAACGGAAGCAACGTGAGCTCTAGTGCGCGATTTACGTACGCGCACACACATCCCTATAGCAGTACCGATTATCTCTACCTCGTGGCGGGAGATCAGATCGATCTTGCCTACTCTTATTGATAGAAGCTGCGCAAGGTCAACCGTTGGCCTTGAATCGATCGTAGTTACCCTCCCTTTTCTCTTACCTTGATCTTTCTCTATCTCTCTTTCACACATACATACTCCTTTACACACATTCACACTCACACACCCAGGCGGTAGTGTATCTGTCCATGCTTTAGCGGTAGATTTATACCATTTATTTTATTTAGTCATTTATCATTATATACATATATATATATATATTCATATATATGCATATCATACCTTTGATGGAGGTTGAGTGCAATCGCCTCGGTAGGAGCTCTTATGCACGTTCGTATATATACACTCACACATGCACACCATCGCTAGGATGCGCAAAAACGGAATGAATCTTCCGCTGAAACGTGGAACTATACACTGCCACCTTTTGATTTAGTTCAATCTATCGATCTGAGCAGCATTTATCGAGCCGCGGGTGAGAGACTTAGCCCTTTCTCTTTCTCTCTCTCTCTCTCACACACACACACACACACACACACACACACACACACACATACCCACACAAACTCCATCGATAGTATGAGCAAAAACGGAATGAATATTTCGCTGAAACGTGGGAATATACACTGCTACTTTCTGAGTTGCTCTTTCTATCGATCCGAGTGGCGCGTGATGATGCGTGGGTTGGGGAATTAGTTGTTGGCCAAGGTAAGAGACTTATCGTCTCCCTCTCTCGCTTTGGTCGAATCATGAATGTCTTACTTACACACATTCCATCGATTAGGATGAACAAAATCGGAATGAATCTTCTGCTGAAACGAGAAAATATATACTGTCACTTCTTGCTTTTGTTCGTTCTACCGATCCGAGTAGCAGCGGTGGGTTGGGGTTGGAAACTTAGCTGTTTCTCTCTCTCTCACTCACACACACACACACACACAATCGATAGGATGAGCAAGAACGGAACGGATCTTCTGCTGAGACATGGAAATATACACTGTCACGTTTGCCTTGCTCATCCCATCGATCCACGTGGCGTGCGGTTAGGTGCGGGTGGGAGATACTCACTCACACATATATAGTAACAGTGACTTCAACTTCCCTTGTTTTAGTGTTAAATTCATTTATTTTATTTTATTTTTATTTATTTTCTTTATTTATTAATTTATTTACTCATTTAGTTATTTTGTTTTTGCTCGTCGTATCGTTGGTAATGTCGGAAAAACGGGTTGCGAGATCGGAGACTAACCTTTTCTCAATCTCCCGCTCCGTCGAGGTCTTCACTGATGTCGGACGCTTCCCGCTTCTGTAGGTAAGCTCGATCCTTTCCCCCTTCCTGCTTGCGAGCGCCACCTTTCTTGCGTCCACTTTTTCTCACCGTGCACCCACTTACTCAATCTTTGCGCAACACACCTTCCGCCTTTAAGATCGCTTCCTCCTCTCACGTGATCGCGCGATCTTTCTTCCCTGCTCTCCTTGCTCCTTCTTCTTCTTTGCCTCCTCCCTCTCTCTCCCCTCCTTCTTCTTCTTCTTCCTCTCCTTTTCACGTTCTATCGTGTTACTTTCTCTCGTGATCTCCCACTTTCTCCGGTCTATTCGCGATATTTCTTTTCTTGCTTATGAGCGTTTTTCTTTTTTTTTCTCCCCTTTACTCATCTCTTCCTCCCCCTTACTTTCCTTGCCTTCTCTCTCTCCCTCTGGAGCAGGGTTTGTTCGATGTCGCGCCGTGCTTCTCGGCGGCCAAGTCTGTTATGACTTAGGCCGGATGAACCTACCCTAGTCTTGGCGGCGAACTCGTAAAAGTGAACCTAAGGAAAACAAACACGGGGTGTGAAAAGAAGAAAAACTAGTAAAACAACGAAATCTGAAAAATAAAAGAAAAACAAAAAGAAAAAAAACAAAAAGAAAAACTTACTCTTAACCACCCCGTCGTGGCAACTGTCACAACGGGGTCCAACTACAACTGAACTTTCAATCCCTAGGTCATGGGTTCGAGTCCCGTCCATCTGAGGGCGGGCGGAAAAGGTAAGCCCCGCCCCCTATAGCTAGCAAAAGGAGCTAGCCCGGAAGCAGGTCGAACTCGATCCCAGGACCCTCTGCATATCAGTCTGTGCTTGTACCTATTGGGCTAACTCCTAGTTCGGTTCTATTAGGAGCTAATATGCCCTAAGTAGAGTACAGGGCCCAGTTCGATCAATACTTAAGGCCTGCAGCCTACCGTAGGGGAAAACTCAGGCCACCGTTTGGCCAATGCGGCCTGCTACAACAGGCTAGGCCCCTCTTGCCTAGTCGCCCTGGCCACATGGTCGGGGCTTTTACTAATTCTTACCTTTATTCTATCCCGCGGGGAGTTGTTTCTCACCCCGCTTTTCCGATACATTCGACGTCTGTGGTCTTGAGCCGAAACAGTCATGCTTCCTCGTTCGTCAACTGACTGAGGAAAACCGTCGTCGCGTCCCGCACGACTCTTTTCCGTTTTGACCAGCCTTCCGACCTTGTGGTCGGAGGCGTTATTTATTAACCACTTTGCAGCCTCTGCGCGTGCTAGAATGGCGTGCGCGGTCATTTCATCTACTGACCTCTGGCGTCTTTGCATGCCCTGCGAGCATTCGAAATTTTCAACCCCCGACTCTTGTCCGCGTGTGCCGTGTTTTGGCCCTTGCGGTTACTACACTTTTAAGACCATAATGGTCGAGGGGTTTGCCCCAGTTTCTGTTTTTAGCCGTCTCTGTTCTAACAATTGGCGTCAACATTGTGTCGACTACAATATCATGAGCGGATACCCTTGTAAGGGTATCAGCTCCGACAACGCATTCCAGCCATGGCAATTCCGAGGACATCCATTGACCCTTTCCTCAACACCGGGCAAGTTTTCGCAGCCGAGCCATCCTTTTGCGCGCAGTTAGCAGCTAAACGATCATGAATGGTCTTTGAGGATGGCGGGCTGGAGCACATATTGTGGTATTCGGATGAGGATGGAGCATCCGACAAGGATGTGGACGATTCGAGCGGGGAGTTTGACGATGTCGAACCCGTGACAGGTGCTCCTCTCCCTCGGCTTCCTGACGAAGTCGGTGTTGTTCGCGCTGCACAGGAGTTTGCGAACATCACAGAACTAAGGAAGGTCGTGGCGGATGATGCGGTGAAGAAGAAGTACGAGTTTCGGATTGTGAAGTCCAATGCGACAAGGTACACAGTGAAATGCAAGGTGGAAGGTTGTGGTTGGCGACTGCACGCGTCAGCGGTGCACGGTGGACCGACGTTCAAGATCAAATCAATGACCGCACACTGTTGTGCACGTGTGAGCAAATTCTCGAACAATGTCGTCACGGCTGCTTGGGTGTCACAGTGGATAGAACCGAGACTGCGTAATAAGCCAGACTACTCACCCGTCGATATTGTCAAAGATATATACCGACAACACGGAGTGAGTATCAAGTACCGACTTGCATGGTCCGCGAAGGAAGTAGCGAAGGCGAAAATTGCAGGGCTAAATGATGATGGGTTCCACAATCTGTGGATGTATTGCGACGAGGTTCAGAACTCTAACCCGGGGAGCCGTGCTTTCGTGCAAACAAAGGAAGGATATCATCGGTTCAAGCGCATGTTCTATGCATTGGAGGTATGTTTGGCAGATTTCATGCATTGTCGCCCGCTCCTCGGCCTGGACGGTACATTCTTGAAGACAAGATACAAAGGTATTCTTCTATGTGCGACAAGTGTGGATGATGAAGGTCACCTCCTTCCGGTGGCGTTCGCGATTGTGCCTAGCATGGACAGCGATAATTGATTTTGGTTCCTCCACCACCTCTGCGCCACAATCCAATCACGGGTCGCGAATGCAGAGATTATAACCTTCTTGTCTGATCGAGACAAGGGTCTCATCGACGCGGTGAGCAACGTTTTTCCAAGCTCTCCGCACGGGTATTGCATGCGTCATCTTAGTGAGAACATCAAGAAGCGGAACAAAGGCCCCGAGTACCAGAAGTTGTTATGGGCAGCAGCAAAGGCAAACACTGTTGCGAAGTTCGATAACTTGATTGCGCACATGCGTGGTATGGACCCCGACACACCAGCATGGCTTTTACGGACGTGCGATCCTGTTCATTGGGCCGACGCGCATTTCGAGGGAAGGAGATACGGCCACTATACATCCAATATATCAGAGTCTTTAAATAGTTGGATTATGGAGGCCAGAGAGAAACCGGCCATGTTCATGATGGAGGACATCCGTCACCGACTGTGTGAACGCTTCCTCCGTCGACGCAGAGCTGCAGCAGAAATTCAAACAGTCCTTGTCCCGGAGGCGGAGCACACACTAGCTATGTGCAGGCAGAAAGCTCAAAGATACCGTGCAATCCCTACGAATGACGATATATTCGAGGTATTGTGTGGGAACTCTTCCCAGCATGTAGTTTTGAGCACAAGTTCTTGTACATGCAGGTGGTGGCAATCGAGAGGCATTCCTTGCCCACATGCAATCGTGGCTATTCTTAGCACAAACCAGTGTCCGCAAAGCTTTTGCTGCCAAACATTTTCTGCGCAGAAGTATCGGGCAACATATGCGGGGTTGATTCATCCACTGCGGCCGAGGGAGTTGTGGGCATCCGACAAGGTTGCCGGAGACGCCGATGGAAAAGACGGCGGTGAGGGGTCGGGAGTGGAGGGAGATGACCTAGACGTGGTTGAAAGCAGCGTTTTGCCACCTGTTGCACGGGCTGGGCGAGGACGTCGAACAAAGGTTGAGCGGACGGGATGCCAACCAAGAGTTTCAAGTGCAGTCTGTGTGGAGGGTACGGGCACTCCCGTCGAACTTGCAAAAACGGAGAGCAGAAACAGTGACAGAAGTGTGTGCGTGTGTGCGTATGTGTGTGTGTGTGTGTGTGTGTGTATGTGTGTGTGTGTGTGTGTGTGTGTGTGTGTGTGAGAGAGAGAGAGAGAGAGAGAGAGAGAGAGAGAGANTGTGTGTGTGTGTGTGTGTGTGTGTGTGTGTGTGAGAGAGAGAGAGAGAGAGAGAGAGAGAGAGAGAGAGAGAGAGAGAGTTGACATTGTGTACAATGAAACTTCAACTCGTACATTGAGAGCGCTGTCGCCTGTTTTATCAGGCTTGGAGCAGCAAGATATTGATTTATTGTACAGCCATGTTTGTGAATCATCATGTCTCAAGGAAGGCGTGCGAGAATACCGCAATTCCTTGTCGAAGTCTGGCCATTATCTCCCCCGCACGTCCGCCCTCCCTCACTCACATCTCATGATTTACTGCTTGGACAATCCTTGCATTCGTGTTGGCTTCTATGACACAATGGCACGTACACACCATGTATGCAAAATGGCCACCTTCGAGACTATGGTTGTACTGGGACGGTGACCCTTGGGACTGCGACTGTACTGAGACTGTGACCTTTGACTTCCTGCCGAACAGACATGACCCTGTCTCAGCCTTAAGTCTGATTCGTTTAGGACCTGTTCGTTTAGGCAAATGTCGCATCCGGACTGAAATAAAAAGTATTTTTGCAGAATTCACAGTCGGGTTCTAAACGAACAGTCAATTTACCAACTATGAGACAGGGTCATGTCTGCTCGGCAGTAAGTCAAAGGTCACAGTCCCAGTCCACTTACAGTCCCAAGGGTCAAATCTCATTCTGGTGAGGCTGGATACGACATTTGCCTCAGGGACTGTGACTGGACTGGACTGGGACTATGGCCTATGAGACTGCGAATGGACTGGACCGAGACTCATCTAGGGCTGTGAAAGGTCACAGCCCCAGTACAGTCACAGTCCCAACTAATCACACAGACATGACCCTGTCTCAGCCTTAAAATTGACTGTTCGTTTAGGAACCGACTGTAAATTTTGCAAAAATATTTTTTATTTGAGTCTGAATGCGACGTATGCCTCAGGGAACTGGATTTTGGAATGCTGCTTCGTGACTTTAAGTCGTTTTGCAAAATTCACAGTGAGGTCCTAAATGAATAGTCAATTTCAAGGCTGAGAGAGGGTCATTTCTGTTCGACAAATGTCGCAGTCTTAAAGGCCCCAGTCCTAGTCCAGTCTCAGTCCAGTCCAGTCCCAGTCTCAGTCCCAGTCCAGTCGCAGTCCAGCCCATTCACAGTCCCCGAGGCAAATGTCGTAAATGTTGCAAAATTCACAGCCAGACTTGTACTGGGGCTGTGACCTTCCACAAATGTTGCCTGCCTCCTACCATAATAGTGTTCCACGCACAACTTGTTTTGTTCCACCTTTTTGCCACATTCCTCCTTCTCCCCTTTTCCAAAGCTGGAAGGCTCCCATCAGGAGCAGACATTTCAGGTGCCAGATAGAAAGAAAACCAATTGCTTTTGAGCATGTTCAAGGGTTGATTTTTACATGTCATTGGTGCCTAACAACATTGTCTGCCTCCTACCGTAACATTGTTCGTTGATGCGGGCTAATGCTCAATGATGGGTGCAAATTGAGTATATTGTGCCCCAGACTACTTGTCTCACCACCTCACCACCAGCCCCCGTCTTCACACTGACCCTTGTTCGATGATTACCTTACTCTTGCCGCGGTTTTCTTCTCTCTTGACCCGAACAAAAGTGGTAACCAAAGGTAGGTGTCAGCACTATCTCCTTCCTTGAGTCCACGCCATGAAACCCCCTTTGCACTCCCTTCACTGTGTGAACACCCTTGTTGCTCAACTAACACCTCCTAAGTCCCTCTTTCAATGGAAAAACACCTCTTTAATTTAGTACAAACACCCGTCCACGTGCCTTGAATACCTGTTTACCATGTCCGAAGGAGCTCCATTTCAAATTGTGAACATCCCACATCACCCCCTCATGTTGGCAGAGAGTAAACATCCCACATCACCCCGGACCCTCATGTTGGTAGAGACTGGGACTGGACTGGGACTGTGAAAGGTCACAGTCTCAGTACAGTCACAGAAAAAGGCCCACAACTACCCGACATAAAGACCCTACCGCAATGGTAGGGTAATAGAGACTCTGCATGCAAGTATAGGGCAACAACAACATTCACAAGGAAAAGGTGTTGTGAGTATGATGTATGCCACATGGGGCGGTAAGAACGGGCACACATGCATACTCCATGTCTGTGTCAAGAGGATTGATTGCATGTGTGGGGCAATGGGTACAGGACGGGCACACACGCATACTCCATGTGCCGTTCAGAAGGAAAAGGTGACTGCACTTGCATGCTGTGTGTCAAGAGGATTGATTGCATGTGTGGGGCAACAGCAGCATTCACAAGAAAAATATTTTGTGAGTATGATGTACGCCACATGGGGCGGTCAGGATGGGCACACAAACATACTTCATGTTTGTGTCAAGAGGATTGATTGCTTGTGTGGGGCAATGGGTACAGGAGGGGCACACAGGCATAAAAGGTGACTACACTTGCATGCTGTGTGTCACGAGGATTGATTGCATGTGTGGGGCAACAACGACATTCACAAGGAAAAGGTGTTGTGAGTGTGATGTCAGCACCAACAAATTTGTGTCATGCCCAGGTAACTCCATCACAGGCCCGGGGGAGAATGCACCAGACTGCCTTCAACAGGTATAGGACGGGCACACAGGCCACAAACAGCCAGCCACAGTGGCCCACTGTCGTTGAATGCAAGCAAGGGCATGGCAGAAATGCCCTTACGGTCAAATTTGTGTTCTGCCCCGGTAGGTCCCTGAGAGGCCCGTGGAAAATGCCCCTGAGAGCCCCCAACGACTACAGGGGCGGGACAGAAAGATGGGCGGTACCGGTGTGAGGAAACCCGGGGAGGGGTCGCCTACTGCTCGCTGAAGCCAACGGCAACGGCGCCTGTCACTCGCCTCGCCCGCTTCCTAGGTCCTCAGCAACCAGGGCGTGTCGGGTTTTGCGTTGCCTCTCGCACCCCCCCACATGAAGCTGGGTTGAAGGTTCTCTTTCGCACATAAAAAAAAAACACATTTTCTCAACAACAATTAAATAAACGTACCTAGTCCGGAAATCAGAGATCTGAGCTTGAACCTGGTTAAAGGTCAATCTTGCTATTTTTCAGGTTTGGCCTGCACTGCTAGGTTTGCCTAAATAGAGGGGTAATTGAACGGTATGAAGTAAACTGGAATGCCTCAGCCAAAACGGCAAGTTACAAGGGCAGCAACGAATTTGTCATAACAGTGAGAGTCACTAAGGAGTCATAGAAAAAAAAAAAAGGCAACCTTGACCGAGTCAGAGATATACCCTTCTTGAATGAAATACTTGTAACGAAGTTGCCATGTAAGTGGCCTGCCAACAAACAACGAGTCGTCTGATTTGAATGAGCGGCATGGAGTTGACACGACAGACGGTTGCCTGTAACTGATCGACCAATGAGGAGTGAGCATTTGATCTGTTGAAGAGCAGTCAGTGTCTGATCTCCCAATGAGCAGTAAGTGTTTGATCTGTTGATGAACAGTCAAAGCCTGATCTGCCGATCAGTGGTGAGTGTTTGATCTGTCGACAAACAGTCAATGCCTGATCGGCCAACCAGCGGTGAGCGCTTGATCTGTCGACGAACAGTCTGTTTGATCTGTCGACAAACAGTCAATGCCTGATCTGCCGACCAGTGGTAAGTGTTTGATTTGTAGACAAACAGTCAATGCCTGATTTGCCAACCAGCGGTGAGTGTTTGATCTGTCGACGAACAGTCAATAGTTTGTGCCGTCGGAATCCGCCAAATGAGCCTGGCTGAGGAGAACGCCCAGATACGTGCACATTCAGATGTGTTCCGGGCTATAAATTGAATCATTCAGGGCGCATTATCCGCCAGGTGTTTTTTGCCTTCCAGAAGTCTTCGCTCAGGGAGCTTTTCATAGCCAATCACGGTGTTGTCTTTACTCTTTTTTTTACACTTTACTCCTCCCTTTCTCTGGCACATATTCTCTGCTAACCTTCTCGCTTCTCCTCTCCCTCTTCCCTACGTGCAATGGCTCTCCCTCTCCGTTCTCTCTCTCTCACATACCCGAAACCACTTTTACACACTCTCTTTAAGCATACGGGCCCCCATCAGATGACCTGTCTACTCATGTCTCTCCTGAATGGAACACACCACTATCAAAGGCTGCTTTAGACGTGGTAACCCCTATGCACAGTGTGCTGTATTCGAGAGAGGGGCTGCAGGGGATGTGGTTTTCAACTAAGCAGCTTCTCCCCGTCACACAATGGTTCCAATTCAAATGGCTCTCAAATGCTTCTGGACCCGGTGTGTGCTAATGAGAAAAATAATAATAATAGTAAAAGTGATAATTAATAATGATAATAATAATAATAATAATAGATCAAATTTTGTCTCCCTCTTAGTCTCGCCTCCCCGCTGTCCACTTGCTTGTAAACATGCACGAAAGAGAATAAAGAGAGGAAAATGATAATAATAATAATAAAATCAAAATTTGTCTCCCCTTAGTCTCGGTTCCTCGCTCAAGTGCCCACTTGCTTGTGAACAGGCACCAGAGATAATAAAGAGAGGAAATAATAATAACGTATATATATATATATATTTTATTAAAAACAATATATATATATATCAGGAAACAAAAGCCCATATCATCTCTCTTCTCTCTTCCCTCTCTCACACTCAGTCTTTCACCCTCTCCCACTTATTCCCGTAGCAAACAGATTCCCTTTTCACCACGCATCAACCTGAGGGTTGTTTTGGTCTCGATAACCCTTGTGCTGCGTTCTAGGGAAGGGCTGCAGGGGATGCTGTTGCTAGCGAAAAAGTCTCTCTCTCTCTCTCTCTCTCTCTCTCTCTCTCTCTCTCTCTCTCTCTCTCTCTCTCTCTCCTGCGCGTGCGCCCAGGACTCTGCGCGCAGCTTCAGTGCTGGTTTTCGCACGCACCCCTCTCATGATGGAAGCTCTGCGCTGACATTCGAGTGGATCTGCACTCATCTACCCACGTTGTAGGGTCAAACCCCGGTATACTTTCGAGCCTTAGTCGACCCCATTGCGGGTCCCAGTTGGCTCGGCCCGCCCACACTCATGCTCAGGGCGCGGGTCATTCGTCCCAGGGTCACCCCCACCTAGTGCTTTGAGATGGATGGGGGTGGGCCATTGCGCGACAGAGCTTTGACATTGGGGATGTAGCTCAACCCTCACGCCGGGTGGTAGTCTCGCTGGTTGTTCCGCAACACTGATTTTTTTTTATTCTTTGTCGTGTTCTCATGCAATTGCTCCTTCCAATACGCAGGCAGTCCAAGGATTCTTTGAGTGTTTCTCTTCTCTTGTGCGTAGGCTAAGCGTCATCCTTAGGCCACGCACCATTTCCCTAAGCAATGTGGCTATATGGCGTCATCGGGGTGTGGCGGGGCCGTCCCTCCCCTCGTCTCTACGCATCCATCGGGTCTCACAATTTGTTGTCTTTCCTTATTGAAGTAGGCCCCTTAGTTTTTTCGGGGTCCTCATATGCATGCACACATAACATCACAATTTCCTTGGTATGGTTGCACTCTCATTTACACTCCAAGTTCTCAAGCGCAAAAATCATTTTCGTGGGTTGGCTCTATGTCAAGGGTCTCATAGCCCCTTTGTCCCTCTTCCCTTTCACTCTTGGTGCCCAGTTCCTCTCGCCCCTATCCCGCTCAAGGCATTTCTAGCCATCACTCACCTGCACAATCCCACACAAGCAAGAAGATCTATACAATCCCCCGTTGGGGGTCAACACATAGCCCTTCCCACATGCCTATCTTTTCACATCCTTTGGCTGCTCTTTGTTCCCTCTTGATGCTCAACCAGCCCATTCTCTTCTCATAGTCATGCAGTCGGAGAAATGGTTGAGTCAAACTGACCTTGCTCTCACTTATATTCTTCCGGATCCCGCCTTTCTCCCACTTTTTTCTCAAACGTCCTTTCTTTTGCCTTCTTGGTGGCACAAGGGACCAACTGTCCTCCCCTTGTCCTCTTCCTCCACCAAGTGAGGTCTGATTTCGTTCACCGTCCGTACCCTGGCAATGTTTTCTAAGTGAGGGGCGAAGGG